TAAAATATTTTTATTACAAAATTTATTAGGGTATTAATACAGAAGACCTATTAGTCATTACCCTTACTTTGTGCAATAGACAAAAGGTGCTTATGACTGTTCAAAATTAGGCATAACTTCCATGAAGTGTTGAATGGAGAAAAAAGAAGGCATGAAAACAGTTTCACACAAGTAAGGAAAGTCCTGATTGCCATTAGTCTAGAAACATCTCTGATAATTTTCCTTGTACTCTCTTAAAATTTTTACAGTTTTCTCTTTCTTTTCCTCAGCAGAAAAATGAGGCATATAATAACTAAGTCATCAGCTGTAGTTTGATACAGAAATCATGAGTCATATCCAAAAAGCCACAATCTCTAAAACGTCATCCCATTTCTTATTATCTTCTAATTACAGTGTAAAGGAAGGATTTGTTGATCCTCAAAGCCTAAGTATTTTTCTTAAGAAATTTGGTCTCTGTGTTTCCTGCTCTGAGGGGTTCTCTACCTCTCCTAATCCAGTCTGCGTCTTTCCACTTCCTCATGTTCTCTCTGTTTTTGACCTTCTCCCCTGCATCCTGATGTGTCTTACTCCTAAGATATCCTTTGCCTATATTTGTCTTTATATTTTTCACTTTTTTTTTCTGTTTCTTTTTATCTTACAAGTTTTCACTGTCTGTCCTCAACCTGGCTCACTTCTCCTACATCAGTATTTTCTTTTCCCTTCATTTAATAACAAATCCCATTCTTTGCTCATTTATCTCTTTTCCTTCTGTGGCATATTTTCCTTCTGGGGCCTTCTTCTTTCATTCCCTTTCTTTTTATTGGTGCTCATCTTGACTCTTGTATTGATGAACTTGTCATTTTTGGTAACTAATCTGACCAGTTTCAGATTAGGTAACAAATCTCCAGTTTTTGGTAATTCCAAAGTTACCTAAACTCCATTTTCTGGGTGTTTAAATGTGAGTCTGAACTTCTTTTTATTTTCTTACTTGAGGAATCCTCATTCTCTTAAAGGCAAAGAAAAGCTCACTATTGTAGCTACGGTGTCTCTTGAAGATGTAAAAGCTAGAAAGCAAATACAAATTCAGTTTATTGTTAATTTGGAGGGCATAAGTAATGACTGTTCACCTCAAGGAACTTGAGTTAGTGACACTCCTGTTTTTCCTTGCTCCCTTTCCGTAGGCTAGCCCTTATGTTCTTTCTTCATTCTCTTCTTCCACTGTCCTCCAATACATACAGGCAGTGTCTGTCACTCCTGAGGGCAACTTGAGTTCTGTTGTTGTAGCAATGGCAGCTTGATTTCACTCCAAACCTGCAGAAGTGGGCTGTGACATTTAATGGTAACAGTAATCTTTAATACAAAATGAGTTTCAGGTTTATTGGCAATATGTGCATCAGCCACAATGTTGCCAGAAAAATCAGTGCTTATCATTTAAATTCTGGAAGAAGGTGTCTTGAATGAGCTGCCTGTGGATGTGAGCAGAGGAGTCTGAGACACTAGAGGAAGGCTAGGGAGATGCTCTGAGCTGCCAGGCTCCTAGACCAGCTGATTATAGCCAAAATGGTGCCTGTGTGATTGTGGTGTCACATCACTAAAGTCAACTCAGTAGCTTGATTTTTCTTTGTATAGAGGAGTGCAGATGGGTTGGTACATTCCACACATAGTCCTACAGATACCCTGGGTCAGTCCATTCTAACATACTGAGTTATCTGTGTTGCTTTTAAAACTCAGTCTTAAATGTGTGTTTCTTACCATTGGTAGGAGTACAGGGAGCTCCTGCCTGAAGGGATGAGACAGTCTTCCCCAGTGCTTGAGGAAAGTTTGTCATGACTCCTCTTGCTCAGGGTTTGACAGAAGAATACTTTCCAAATACAAATTTTGAAGAATAAAAAATGAATGTGAAAGTTTTTAAGTTTTTTTCCTGTCAAATGTGTCTCTCTGAAGACTGTTTTTAGAAATACAGGAATTGGTGGCAATGTAAGTCACTTTCCTTCTTTCAAAAACTTCAGTTTTTCCATTTCAACATACTGAGAGTGAAAAATGATCTAATTTTCCAAACTGTAGTTTGTTTATAAACTGCAGTTGACAGTTAAAGTTGTGCTGTTTGCTAGTAATGAATGCATTAGCTTTTATTTGAAAACTGTAATGGAAAATTACTGTTGAATATTTTTTGGCAGTAAGAGTGGTAAAAATGCTGCACAGATGAATATCTAGTTGAATGGTTCTGAAGTCTGGAAAAGTCTGCATTGAAATAGTTTTTTAAGGCTTCACCTGTTTACCAGAAAAGCACTTCATCCTGTGTGGAGACAGAGACTGTTCTATGACTTATAGGGAGGTTTTTTTTCTCCTGTGCTAATGAAGGGAGTGTGACCCTTAGGCTATGTTTATGAGTTACTGCTTTTTCAGTCATGTCAGCTGAAGAGAGAAGAAATTTCTACTCCCAGCCACTATAGATAAAGCCAGTATAAATAAATTGGCTTGCAGGGGCCATATAAAAGCAAATTCATTTCAGTCTTGATAGATGCATGTGAGTGCATCAACAGTATTGTTAATGAGCTCTTCAGAAATGTAGTAAATTCCCAATGGAGGGAGTCCACAAGTGACTGTGAACAGCTTTGGGAAATCTGCTAAGTGTGTAGCTGGTCTCAGGGTACAGAGGCATATAGAATGGTTAATAATTACCATAATGCAGTGTATATTAAAATGTTGTCAGTCACTTGCAGTATCCAGCTAGGATACTGTCTGGGTGCATGAAAGACTTGTTATTCCCCCTTCCTGCCCCAGCACATGCACTCATGACAATACTATTAGGGTTTAAAATACTGGTGTAAATAGGAATAGATAGTTGAGTTTAATTATAAAAAAAAAATCACTCCAGAGTTTGAGTGCTTTTCCTTGAGGAACAGCTTTCATGGAAGCTAATCAAAGGAGCTGCAAGATAAGCTTCTTGCTGCTACTTTCGGAAATTAAAATTTTATCTTTCTTGTTTTGATCTGGGCTGATTTATTTGTTTCCTGTGCTTCAGGACTTGTTTGGGACTTCTGCTAAAAGGATGTTCATAGGATCTCAGCTCTGCTGTGAGGTGCAGCAATGAGTGCTTGGTGCTACTCAGAGGATCTAGTGGACAGCTTTGCTCCTGTTCCCTTAGACAGTAGGAGGTGCAAATCTGAGTATTTTAAACTATCAGTGATTGCAAACATTGGTGGCCTAGTGTATGCACTGCCTTGCTATGGGTTTAAAATTAGTACTTTTTAATGAAGTAGTAATTTTTTTTTAAAGTAATGTCTTTTTAAAGACAGCATGTTCTTTTTTCTCCTCTGTGTTGACTACATTTCTCTGAATTAATCTTGTATCATCTTGTATCATAAAGCTACATTATTTTGGTCACCTGTCATATGACTTCACAAAAGTAGCCTCTAATATTAATAAATCTGGTAATAATCCTAGCAGTTAAAACACATTCTCAGCAAATTTCCCCTGTTTATAGTTTGTAGCAATCCCATGAATGTTAACATTTTAAACACAAAAAAATTTATTATGTGGCGGTACCAGTCCTTTTGAAAAGACAATATGTGATGCAAAGCCTTTTAAAGTCACTCTTTGCTCTTGGTTTTGAAGTCAGACACTAGTGCTAAGCATTAGCTTGTTTTGGCAACAGTACAAAAGGAAAGTAAACAACTTTCACTCTGTTAGGTAGGTGTTCCTTATTAATTCAGGATGTGATTAACCTGTAGTTTCAAAGGGAAGGTGACCAGTTCAGTATGAAAAATTAGGTTTTTCTGTGCAGGTGACTCTTCCCAGAGCTGAGTGTTTTTCCTGCCATTCACTTTTGTCATATGAAGTTAGTGGAAGCATTGTGCTAGCCAGTTGGTTGAGCTTCCTTGGGCTTGTCAGCAAGTCTGATAAAATAGTCCTTCCAGTTATAGGTACAAATCACAGGCTTTTCCAAACTACTGCAGTAAATCTTTCCTAATCATCACCTGAACATGTGCTCATAGAATACGCATGCACAGTCAAGCAAATGCATCCTGTTCTAGTTTTTGAGTACATGAGATCTCAGAATTATGCTATGCATTTTGTAGGCTCTATGCTATTGGGTCCAAAGCTGCAAATTCTAAACCAGCAGTGTGAATGCAATGAAGCTGAAAAGCTAAGACAAAAAATGTAAAATTTTATATCCATGTGTTTTGAAATTAAAGTTTTGTGTAGATCCCATTTCAAACGGATAGATTTCTGTGGAATAGTCAAATTCATTGAATAATTTTTTTCCAGCAGGAAATGATCCTGTCAGGATTCTCTGACCCTACTTTGATAAGGATTATTAATACAAAATGATAAACTTGCTGCTTTTAGTGACATGATGCTTTCTTAATGCACTGTGAAATTTCAGTCTTCTTTTTGCTAAGCTGTCAAGCCACTTTGTAAAACTGTTTTGTGTTTAAGAAGATTGAGATTTCAATTTAATGAAACAGTTGAGAAACTTAACTTTTCTTTATTATGCAAATTCCAAAGCGACGATTCTGAACTCAGAGGAAATGCAAAAATTGACAAGTGGGACTTACAAAAATAGTAATGTTTTAACTTTAATTTACTTGAACTTCATATTTCTGTTGAACTCTTTGAAATCCCAGAAGTATCAGATGAAACAGTGTCTTTTCCCTAGTTTATGAATTAATGCTATTTATTCTCTTGAAATAACTATTTGCTACTGCTTAATTTAAGCCAACATGTTTTCATGCTCCCTCCATGGCTGAACATCAATCATACTATTTAAATAATGAAGCCAGGCATTAAAGACACATCTTTTAAAAAGCTAGTATTGTAAAGGGTCCAGATAAAAAGGGTAGGGCCTTCTTGTTGTTAATACCAGGATGCATATATAATAAAAACATTATTGAAATGTGTGATTCAGGTAAGACAAGGAATATTTGGCAATTACTCAAAAAAGAGAAGTAACTCAACTTTTTAGTTTTGTTCTTCCATCATCTCTTTATCTGAAAACCTGTTTTTTTCTCTTACAGATAAATCAGGCCGCTTACACTGCACAGAAATGGAGGTAAGAGAAGTATTTTGTTTCTCTCTTAGTGGTGATTTAGCTCAGCTTTTTCTCATTAACTTACAATGTAGATGTAGTATACTTACAGTGTGGAGTTTTCATTGCTAAGTGTTTATTGCATTTATGACTTTCACTGGCAGCTGGTGTGTCTTAACATGGGATATTTAGTCTCATGTTCAAAAATACAGGAAAAAAGGGCTGTGTGATTTTTCAAAACCAAGATTAAAGATTTGTGATGCAGCCAGTGTAATCTCATTTGATATTAATCTCTTAAAAACGTATGTGTATTTTAAAGAATATTTAATGTAGGTAATTTCTGTTGGATAAATTATTCTGTTGTACTTACTTTAGAAAGGACTAATCAGTCATGGAATAAATCCTTAGTGTTTATGGAATGTCTTGGTAATTTTTCACAACCTGAGAATTTGGGTGGAAGCAGAGAATACAAGTGATCTCAGCATTGCTTGTTCATTTAAAAGCATCCTGATTTTAGGTACTTTTGTTATGACCTTTAATTTATCACTTGGCAATGTTTCGGGGTCCAACAAATATTGTTGTATGACTTTCTGGGGTAACAACAGAAACACAAATCCACTTAAATCGGCTTGATTTATATCTTGATCGTTATTTAAATCTGTATATTTGTTACTAAACTGTGATTAGTGTTGTAATTGTTTTATATGTCAGATTCATAGATTTAATCCAGACCTAAATGCAAAACTAAGTAGAACATCTAGTTGAACAAGATGTGGACTCACAGTCTAAGTTTTATTATCATACAAAGTAAATAATACAGTCTACTCAAATAAACTTTTCCAGCAATAAATACAATTTCTGTGTCCTTTACAGAGCAGCCTTTTCTCACTTGCCTTTGAACTTTCTTTGAAATGTAAAACTGAGTTTTCACTGCAACTGTTCCATCCGTACCTCAGGCTGAGCCTGGAGATGGGACAAGCGGTGGAGCATCTTAATTGGCAGCTTGTCAGCTTTCTCATCAATAATATATGTGAAGGTGACAAAGTGCTGTTATCAAGTGGTTTATTCATAGATAAACTGTGCAGGATGATGACTGACTATAAAGACAAAATGAAAGGCCAGCTAATTCAGCTACAGATTGTAAATGCAAAGGCTATCCAGGTTTTTTCAAGTTTTATTAATAATAATAAACCAGAAATGTTCTTTCTGCAGGATACAGTGTAAGGAGTAATTCATAACAGATGGAAGTATAGAAAGAAGTAGGCATGTTTTATTGTTTTGTGTGGTTTGGTTTAAACAAATGCATCCTGCATTTGTTTCAGGATTTGCAAAATCTCAGTTCACAGATCTAGTGCCTTATTTACAAATTATAATCTATTTTGTCATATGTTTTGCATGGTAAATATATTTGCAATTTTGTATTGTGGTTTTTAAAAGGAAAGTAATCAAAGGCCCTAAGACTAAAAATACTGATAATAAAGCACTGTTAAAATGTTTTTAACAAAACATAAAATACTTCATTTTGGGAAAGTAGAAGTGTTGTTGCTTCAAATGAAAATGTCTAGTATGTGTCAGTTCAATATGCTATAGTTCATCTTCCATGGGAAAAGAGTTTTCTAATTTTGATCTTCGGAAAGTGTATTTTGTTGATAGTTGAAGAGCAGATTGGAGCTTCCCATGAGACAGGGGTTTCACTTTAGAAATGTCTCTAATAAGCAGCACTGTGACCATTATCATATTGACTCTTTTCTTTATTGTTGTCATTTTGAAGGAGGCTGTGAAGGAGTCAGTAACTTTTTTTCTCCTTCAAATTTCCTTTGGGGTTGCAGCATTAGATTTGAAGTTGATGATGTTTGTGTTTTTCAGAACTAGGATTTCAGCAGAGGCAGCTCATCTCACTTTTTTTGATTCCTGTGAAAGAGTGTGGCCTAAATGAACATACTAGGATATGTGGGAAACACCTTAACATCTTAACGAATAGCAATCATAACTTTTTTTTTTTACAAAATATGTAAAGTATCCAGAACTGGGACATCTTTTATTTCAAGCCAGCAATATGAGTGGTGTGTTAAGTTCAGAGTCCAGGTGCCACAGCCATAATAGGAGGATGGGAGTAAGGAATGAGGTGACCTTGTTTAATCTGCACCTGCCTATAACTCTGTTATGTACATAATGATAGCACTCCTTAGTCATCTCAGCCAAGGTGGTAAAATTATATAAAATATGCCAGCCTCATTTGTAAATATTTAGTGCTCACATAGAAAATATTCTGTGAATGCAAAGTGATTCATATGTAGGAGGGTTTAATTGCCATCTATTTGAAAAGACCCACCTAAGTGAGCACAGGCCTGTCGTGCGTGATTAGAGCAGTTAACCAGGACGTGCGCTAACACAGACACACACGCAACCTCTCACACTGTTTAAGAGTCAGAAGGGAATTAAATAGCCTGTCCCAAACTATGGTGAATAACATTCAGTCCAAGTCAAATCACAGAAGGAATCAATTGTAGAAATGTTTTGGGGAGACTGTGCGCTGTCTATGCAAATTCTATTCATGAGCTCTCAGTAGCACTATTAAAAATCTTAACATATATTTAAAATCACAGTACTTGTCTATGGAGCTATTTTTTTTAACCTCTTCATTGGAAACTTGAAGCATTGACTGTATTTTAGGTAATAATTCAGGGGAATAAATATGCAGCTTATAAGAATACAGTGTTCATGGTCATCCAAATGAGAATATACCTGTTAGTTCAGTGTATTGATGCAAATAAAATTAACCACGTCTGTCATGCAGATGAAAATGAGAACAGGTATTTAAAAGCACAGAATGTTAGGATTTCAAAAGAGGTGCCATAATTTTGCATTAAAAACCATGCCACACCTGTATTAAAGTGTGTTGCTTGCTCATAATTCAAGCAGTGTGAAATGTGTATTTAGCATATGGTAATATCTAGGGTTCATATTTTTATTCTTGTTGAGTGTAAACAAAAGTAACATTCTGATTGAAGAGTAATTGCTGCAGCAAACAATCTTTGTGCACAGTAATAGTCACCTTGTTCTCCTTCCTGAGCATTAACCTTATGGTGACAAGGGAGAAGAAATGTCACTGCACAGAGGACAGGCAAAAATGTTTGAGAATTATTTCTTTTAGTAAAATATGAATGCGTGTGACTTCCATCAACATAAGTTTTCATTATGTACTGAAAAAATAAATTTCTCTCTGAATGCTTGGTTACAAATCTAGTAACTCTATGAAAGCTTTTGATTCCTTGTGCTTTTAAGAGGAAAATTAACAAGAGCTCTGAATTGTCTTGTAGAAAACAGAGTAGAATTACACGTCTTTTCTTGCAATCATTAATTTGTGCTTAAGCATTATGTGGCAGTTCTGATAAGTGAAGCACTCATCCCTTGCTGATGGAATTACCTCGCAGAGAAGCTGCACTCTAGCCTTTGAGGGACCTGTTATTTTAGATACCTGAAAGTCCATTATGCTTGTTCACTGATGTGGGGGTTCTCTGGCCTCCACATTTTCCTGAAATACTCCATAGTGGCAAAGAAGCAGCTTTAACAGACAAACAGCAAACACAAAAAGAAGTAGAGCTTAGGTTTTGATCTTTAGTGTTTTGTAATGAGTTGCTTTTTCAAGAGGAGTTTTGTTATTTTGTAATTTGTATAAGTTTCTAGCACATCAGGAGGAGATTGATTTGGAGAAAAATGGATTTCTGACGTTTACTTGCTATAAGCTTGACACATTGCATTTATCATTCCGCCGTTTCATTGGGAATACACAGCAAATATTGGGCTGGAGAACTAATAATGTATTTGACTAAGCTGATTTAGTGATAATCCTGCCATCTGTCCAGAGTTCTCAAAGAGAATTTGCCTGTTCCTTGTAAAGACTTTGTAATTTTGCAGTATATGATGTGCCTTTATTAATCTACACGCCCTGAAGTCACACAGGATTTATGATGAAATCTCCATTCCAGTGATACCACTGATAAACCTTTCAATCAACTGGAGAAGAATCCACAGGCAGTTTCAACCTTTGGTCTTCTGACAATTTCAGATAATGACTGGTGGAAAATTAGATCTTACAGTACCTTGGGCCCTTCCAGGGAACATTTTGCCTGCACAAAACACAAATAATAGAGCATAGAGCATGAAGTTAAGTGGCGTTGGTGTTTATTTGATGTTTTGGGGGTTTTCTTGGGTTTTTTTCTGGTTTTTTTTGGTTTGTTGTTGTTTTTTGGTTTTGGGTTTTTTTTTTTTTCTTTTGGTAACTACAGAATTCCCTTTTTTTTCATGGGATGAGATGGAAAAGTCTGTAGCTACAGATTATATGAATATGAAAAAGGGCTCAGAGTTTTGGAAGAGTAAGATAATTTTTACAGCTCTTTAGTTTTTGCAGAAGCCTTTCTATATAAATTATATTAAATTGTGCTTGAGAAGATACCCATCTAATCAGAAGCATGCTAGCATACCTATGGCAGCAATCATATGTACTGGTCAATAGCTATCCTATAATTGGCTTTAAGGTGTTATTTTTTGAGTAAACCAGTGCTGGTGGACGTGTTTGACTGTCTGTTCAGACCAAAGGACTAACTTGAATGCTCATTCCAACTGGAAGAAAAAATTAAGCTTTAGATGTTTGCATATCAACAATTTAACAGCCCTTTGTGTTGTCCTTCTTTGTTGTTCTGTATAATAAAATACAAGTTTAGAGTATCAGTATGAAATAAGAATGCTGTGTCTCATACTTTTTTTTTTCTGCTAAAGCTCTTGAAGCCTTCTGAGATTATATGACATTTTTCTATGAACTCTGCTACTTAGGAATTTTCTGTTAGAGATGCTGTGTTTTCCTACCTCTTTGCTAATTTCCAAAAAGTTAATAGTCAAAGCACAGCAACATAAGGACTATGCATTCTGTGGATGAATAAGAGGATAACAGTGTGGTTGCTTGGTGGGAGGTGGGAGTTCTTTGTTATTGCTTGAAGGACTTTGCCTAGGGCAGTGCTGAAACT